GATAAAAAACCGGTCAATTGAACAATTTAATTGTTAACTCAGAAACCCGATGCCGATTTTAACCGGCTTTGGCAGTTTGTATTTAGTATAAAATTTAAACTTTTCACATCTCAGCCTATTATAATAGAAAGAGGCACAAACACTAGCCGTGTCAGGTAATTACCCACCCTTTTATAGAGTGACTTTAGAGCATAATTATGTATATAATTAAGATGGCATAGACATTGTGTGATTAATTGGAAGTTGATCAATGGTAGCTGCAGGTCCTTGAACATTATAAAATATAAATGAAATAATTATTTTAAGTAGTTGTTCTGAAAATTAATAACCTCAGCTATTAATAAATTATCGCCGTATTAATTTAAAGAGGTTAGTCTGTAGATACAAAATTCAAATATGATGGATCTTAAGGTAAATTTCACTTTTGGAGGGAGATGTGCATTGAACACAACATTAAATACATGTCAAATTATTGGAGATCACATAAATGTATGTGGGAATCCTGGCTAATATTATATACAGACAAGATTAATTAGTAGCAAAAGACAAGAGATTTTAATCAAACTAAACCTGCATTTCCCAATAACATAAGATAATAATCTGTGCAGGGATTCTTTATTTTAATAATTTGGTTACCCTCCCTCAGTTGGAAATCTTGAAATCTCCAAAATACCCCTAGTTTAAGGACCATAAAGTGGTATTAAAGGGGCAATTCTGTCTTTTCGAACAGCTTATCATCCTTGCTGGTGCCTAGAGCATTGTCCAATAAAGTAATGTTAAAGATGGTCACAGTAAGACAATGTTTGGATAAATTTTGAAGTAACCTGAAATTTTCTTTCAAAGTAACCTGCAGTCTCTGACTCTCTGTATGTCTTCATTTAAGACAAATTTCTTTAATTTTCAAACTCATTTTCGATCACACATTCACATAATAAAATATTTTATACGTAAACTGATTTTTCCCCCATTTCTAAACTACACATTTTCTAAAAAATACGATGTGAAATATTATTTTTTCCAGAAATAATGGCCATCAAAGAACGGCTAATTTCTCCGTGGATTCAAAAATGATAATAGAAAAACAATAATGCAGGCTGTTCAGACCACACACATTATAAGGGGGGTGGGTAATTTTTTTTTTTAAATAATCCCCCACCCCCTCACACAGCATGTGAGGGGACCTGTACAGATTAGGCATTTTTCATAGAAAAAAGTAGTATGCATCCTAATCGTAATCACTATATAACGAATATGAAAGAAAATGCTTCTTCATGAACTGCAATGTGGAAGTCACCAACCCTAACTCCAAAATCATGTGAGCAATCATCCCTACTTGATTGTTTAGTCCTTCTCAGTGATAAGAGAAATGAATAATTCATGAAGAAATTACTTTAAAACTTGTTTATTTACTTATAAGTAAATTTTGATGCTAAGCGAAACATGGAATAATAAAAAATAAGTACACACCCAACATGGAGAACAACAGCATATGATAATCAGTCAAAGAAGCTAACTTTTTTAGTGGACATTAGCAGTGGCTTTTCAGCTCTCTGTCTCTCCATCCTCTGTGAGATTACACCCCACACCACTCCACCCCACCTACACGTAGAAATGAAAATAAAAGGAAAAGAAAAATTAAGGGCATGCATGATATTTTACTCTCTTTTTGTGCTTTTATATTTATCTTTACTGTTAGTGGGCTAGTCCTTATTATTTTTCCCCATCTACACTACTTTTCCTGATTCTCTGAGAAGGAGACAACTCTGAGTACTTGTTTTCAAGTCATATTGTGGCTTTTCTTTAGTAGTGGTGCTTTTGCATTTTTATTTTTTTGGAGGATATCTGGTGTGAAATGGCCAAATGCGCGGGCCTGTCTTCGGATGAGCTTTTGAGATCAAAAGATTGGAGAAAATGATTGATTTTGCTAGCAGTTTGTTGAGTTTTTCTTTTGCTTCACTTCTTGAGATCTAAAGGTGGGTATGGCTATTTTAATGGCAATTGAGCTTTTTCTTGGCTTGGAGTTCAAGTGTTTGCAAAAATGTCGCCTTTAATGATTTTTTCTTTTTAATTATTATATGGGCCATACTAGGCACTTAATAGAAGCATTAGAGATCTAGTTTTTCAATTCTTGGATCATATTGGATATTCAGAAGTAGATTTTTAGTTAAAAGTTCTAAATTTTTAGTTGGGTTAAAAAAAAAAAAAAAAAAAAAAAAAAAAAAAAGGCAAGGCATTTTTACTTCTTTGTATGTGATTGAACATAAAAATTAGAAGTTACGTGGTAGATTGTCTTTCTTTGTTTAGCCATCTTGGTTCAGAACAGATGGTTATATAGCATCTTTCTTTGGCAAAGTATCTACTATTCAAAAATAAAGTAGCTAATAGATCACGTGAAGAACTCTTGCACATACTTCATATCCTCGACCAATGTAACATCAACTACATTGTTAACGATGTTCTTCGTACGTAAAATGGGAACAAGATTTGCTTGGTACTTTAGGGTCAGGTATCATCTAGGGATGGCAACGGAATGGATGGGCTGGGGATGGCATTACCGTCCCTGCTGGAGAATTTCACCTACCAGCCATTCCCATCGCCCAGTTTTGTTTTGCTTTTTAACTTAATAGAAAAGGGGCAGGCTTGCATGATACTGTGCGGTGATTTTTTTTTCTTTTTCATTTAAACCCTCCATGCTGGATGATTTTCAGCCCTGTCCCTGCACCCGCGGACCCAATTAAGCTGTGAATCCCCACCCGTTTCAGGGCGGATCACCACGGGATCGGGCAGGCAGGTTTTTCTGCTGTCCCTATCTATCATCCTCATTTTTATAGCAATCAAGATAACATTATGTTCCAATCAGTTAAAGATGATGCCCATATTATCAGGTCTTGCTAAGAATAGCAAAATGTCTCTCTTAAAAATATATTTCGTGTGCATGAATTGAGATAAAACCTGTGCATTAGGTTTTATTGCTTTCATATTATAGTTAAAAGTAACTCTATTAATTAGGTCATTCTCTTTATATTTCTTAAACAGAAAAGAAAAGAAATACAAATTATCTTGTTCATTTTATGGTTTCTTTTTCAATTATGTTCAGTTTACATTTACTAAGGGTCTATGCTTTAGTTGAACTAGAGAAGTTCTATGACTGCTATGCCTTTGATAAATTCTTTGAGCCAATCATTTCTTAGTTGTGGTTTTCTCTGTGAAGGTACATGCGAAGACAGCACCTCGTAGATGTAACTGAGATATTTAACTTGCTCAGTTGGGAAAAGAAACAACGGATTATCAAACTTGGTTACATTGTAGTACTTCTCTTCATATCCTTGTTCTGGCAAGTGACTAATAACATGCTTTCTAGCAGTAACAACGAAAATTTACGTCGTAAAGCTTCTTAATCTATTTGTTATTTTTTTATGGTGCAGGATGATTTACAATGCACTTGAAGATGACGATTAGTCACTATAGTTTCACATTTCGTATTTGGCTAAGTACAAGCACCACTTGGATCACATCAAGACTTGCATCAATTACATGTTTGGTAATGAGTATTGAGTATTAGAAGGTATTCGACAGTATTAAGAAAGAACAATAAGTTAAAATCATTTTTATTATACTGTCTAGTTTTATTCATTATTATGTACCAAACATGTTGTGATTAACCCATTTTCTTTTGTAACTCACATTTGTAACGGACGTCTATGAAAATAGGCTGCTCTTTTTTAGCTTTGATTGTAATAGTAAGTAGGATTCATGTTTATCCATGTTTTGGTATTATTGATTTTGTGACCCAGTTTTCTTACATGATTGTGGTAATTATTGGGTTTCTTTTCTAAAATTATTGCTTGCAACCATTATGATCTTCAACTTTTCTACTGAATTACATTAAAAAAATAAAATAAAATAAAAAATTGAAGAATATGGATATTAAGTTCTTAAGGGTCAAGAAATTTGTCTCGTGTGGAATTATTTATTCGGAACTTTATCTTTATCAATGCGATATAACTTGGGGAAAAAAAAGGGGTTACCTTGGAGACTTGAATCTCACTTCATAGGTCTCAATAACGACCCATTTAGTGACATGGGTCCAAATGTTGGTTTGGGGTCAATGAACATGACCCAACCAGTCTTCTATTTTCCATATCTAAAGGGGAATGTGGATTTGGAAAATTCTACGTGTACATTATGGCATCCATAAGGATGTCCATAATGTACACGTGGAATTTCATGATTGGAAGGCTGGAAAAATTGTTTTTCAGCTCTTCAATGATATTATGTCAATTGTATATTATTGATACCATAATATGCATGCAGCATACCTCAATTTGAATTTAGTGGAAGGTTGATGCTATATATAAACTTTTAGTGTACATAATGGATGACGGGAAAATTCTGCATGCTTCACAGAATTTGGCTAGAACCCTCACTGTGCACGGGCCCCATGTGTGATATAAAATGTCAAAAAATCAACCATTAACCCCACCAATGTGTATTTTCTGTAAAATATATGTAAGCGCTGCGTTGGAGCCGGGAAACTATTTTTTTTCTTGGTATATTTAATTTTTTACATCCAAAATTTGAACAAAAAATTATACTTCTTATATAGTTAGATTGATAAGTTAGGGAGGAAATAGTGACCAGTTAATCAGTGAGAAGTACCTTTTGGGAGTCATTTGTGACGCTTTTATATTGCTTGTTGTACCTACACAATAAAAGGAATATAACCCTTTTTTTCTTTTTTCCATGTCTTTGGTAAATATTATTCTTTGCTTCTTCTGTAGTATTGTGTGGTTGAAGTTGGAGGACAATAACTCATTCTATTGGCAAAAGATCTGGATAATCTTGTCGAAAATAAGTAGGAAAAGAATTATAATTAGTCTAAATTAAGCAGAATGGAGAAAGAATTATATTGTCCTCTTCAACTTTAGTCAGGCGTTTCACTATAGTTGCATGGCTTTAAGGGAACACACTGTCCCATTAGCACAGTGTCTTGAGGTGGCTTGTACTTTTGCGCGCAAAAGGAGAAATATTTTATTAACAAAAATGAGCGCCGTTGCCGGGGATCGAACCCGGGTCACCCGCGTGACAGGCGGGAATACTCACCACTATACTACAACGACTTCTTGTAAGGGTGGCTGTAAAAATTATATATAGTAAATTAACTTTGGTCAAATCTACAACCATAAATAGAGTTTAGTTTGTTTTGTATCTTTTTCAGGATTGTTCAAGATTCAAGGACGAGGCAAAACTCAACCACAGTACAATGACAAAATTTAAATTTTTTTTTCCTTGTTCAACAATATTCAATCAATCATACATTTATATACCATTATAATCTACAATCGAGTTTTAATACTGATGTGTGAAAATTTAACATGTCTATAACATAGTAAATTATAAGTCCTAGGATTCATTTGATCCCTTCAAAGTGGGACGGGCTCAAGTATTATGAACATGATGCACAATATCAAGTAGAGAAGCTAGGGCCAATCTAACTCCTTGTCCCTTCGTATGAAGTGTCAACCAACAATGTCAGTGTATTTCAAGTAAATCATTAGAGAGAAATTGAGGAAAAGTGAGTGTGTGTATGGCAAGCTTAAAAAGTTTACTTGTAAGTAAATAAAATTTTAAAATAATTAATCGGAAATAAACATGCTCATAATGATGGAGCATCCTGAAAGTATAAGCAGAACGTATCCATGATCAAACTATTAAATATTTATACAACAAATATCATATGTAAATGAAATATCTAATTTAAATGAAGTGTCCAAGTGGTGGAAAGTGTGAAATTTGTGTGGGAGGTTGGAAATTTGGGTAACATTTGATGCAATAATAAAAAAAAAGTCTCTTATTGAAGCCTTGAACTTCCTTGATTAAAATAAATTTTTTTTATTTTAATTATTTTCGAAATTATTTAATAGATCAAACTAGTCAATATTTTTTAACAATCCATTATCCACGTTCCATTAAAATTGCAAATCTTTCTGGATCATGATGAAAACAGTTATATTTCTTCTAATATAAATACTCATATGATTTTGGAAAAATACATCAAAAAATGAGATTATGATTTTTATATTCCGTTATTTTTTATACTCGAGTTTTACATCTTTTTTAGGAGTACTGGTCCTTGACACGTGCGTTGCACGAATTTTGTATTTATTATATTTTTATTAACGTCAAAATTGTAGATTTTTTACTTATAAGTAACTTCTTATATTTTACAAATATTTTTTGTCTGTATTTTTATTTGTTAATAATTTCTTACATAAAAGTGATTGTTGAAAATAAAATAGTGATAACAAAAAATATCAACAAATAAAAATATTACTAATAAACAAATTCAAAGAAAAAATTAGTTTTCATGCTTGAAAGTCTCAATCCTCCATAATACGGAGACTTGATCTCTCTATAACAAGAGACTTGATCTCTCATAACAAGCCTCCGTATTACGAAGGAAAATCCTCCATGATACGGAGACTTAATCTCTCCATAACAAGCCTCCGTATTACGGAGGAAAATCCTCCGTGATGTGGAGGCTTGATCTCATGGAGAGATCAAGTCTCCATAATAAATATGGAGAGATTCCTTTGATATTTTTTTTATTTAAATGATATTTTATTTATAGATCATCTATTTAACATATAAGTTAATATTTAATTTTAAAAATTAAATATATCTAAATATTTACTCCAAATTTTTAAGTTAATATATTGTTAAGTTACAAGTAATTTTTACAATTATAAGTTTTTTTTTTTTTACTTTTAAATAACTTTAAGTGAATTTTTTTTAACATGTATTTATGGAATTCACACTTTTGCTCTTAAATTAAACCCCTCAATTAATTATTATTTAAACGGCTCGTAAACATTTTGATTGATATTATTTTTTGGTCATCCAAATGGTTACTATATATCTTTTACGTACATATATAAAAATAATGTTTTTATTTATTAAAAAATGAATATATTTATTTTTCGAAAAATGAGTTTTTATTATCATTTCATTTTTATTATGAAATAATTGTAATCTTAATATGTTAGATTGTACTTCAAAATTACATAATTTATCAAATATAATTTTTAAAATTAATTTTTATAAAGTAATATATTTTTATGATTTTTTTTTTTAGTAAAATAATAGTCTCTGTTACACAGGGCTCCATAATGGAGGCTCAAACATGAGCCTCCGTGTAGGCTCATGTCTTGAGCCTCCAAAATAGATGTTGATGCCTCCGTAATTATGGAGGTTAAAGTATGAGCCTCCATAACATATTATATTAAAAAATTAATTATTTTTTATTTTATAATTGTATTTTCGAAAATTAAAAAAAAAGTGGTTATGAAATTACTAATTTTTAAATGTATTTTTTGTTGAAAATAAAAATAATTTTTTATGTTATTTGTAAAAAAAAATGTATTGTTATTTTATTAGCGTAATAAGAAGATTTATTATGCATTTTTATTTTTTGCATTTTATAAAAAATTTTGTTTATAGTGATTGACAAATATTCTTCCACACATGCATCATGCCAACAACATTTAAAAATCATAATTTTAGTATATATTAAAAAAAATAAAAATAAAAAATTACGGAGACAAGACCTCCATATTATGGAGCAAAGCCTCCAATGGAGGCTTTATGGAGGCCTGGCCTCCGTAATTCGAAGGCCAACGTACGTAAAAAGTATATAATAATCATTTGGATGACCAAAAAATAATACTGGGGATAATTCTAATTCGATTGTATTTCATGTACATAATAGGTTTACATACGCATTATACGGTAAGATATGATTAGGTCAAAATTTCTTCAACTAATAAAAATAAAATAAAAAAATAATTATTATCTCTTTGACACCTCATTTGTGTGTAAAACCATTATGTAGCTTCTTATTTAATAAATATTATTAAAATCTTATACATTTTTTTCATTGATGAAAGGTTAGGTTGGTAGGATAATTATGCTGAAAGTTAGAAAATGTTATAATAATTTACTAAAGTTTAAATCGACTTCAGTTATCCTTAACATATTCGAGATAACATTATGCTGACATATACATATATCGGATTGGACATAAGATGTAAACTGACATTATTTAGCCTGATTAAGCCACACAATCCATGCATGCCATATAAGACAACTTCACATTTTCGGATAACCCAACTTGCCATGAAATGCAAATTGAATCGAATCAGACTACTTGATACATTACAAAATAATAATAATAATAATAATAATAATAATAATAATATTATTATTATTATTATTATTATTATTATTATTATTTGCACATAGGACTGTATAGCTTTTACAAAATTTAATAATAATAATAATAATAATAATAATAATAATATTATTATTATTATTATTATTATTATTATTATGTGCAAAACACACCCTTATTATTATTATTATTATTATTATTATTATTATTATTATTATTATTATGTGCAAAACACACCCTTATCTTATTGACACATTTAACATGGTACATGGAGTCCGACATCTTTAAAATAATACTTCAATAATTAATAACCTCTGACATTTATAAAATTTCTAGAATATGGTCGCGGTCTATGTGCATAATTGAATATTTCAATTGTCTAATAATAATAATAATACAAAATATTAAAAAATTAACCAGGATCTCGAAGTACCTTTTGAGTTGCAACGTGAAAACGTGAACTTAATCTAAAGGTCAAGAAGATAAATACATTAGCGAATGATGATTAATTTATCTTTGTTAGACAAATCGATCACCATCCATATTTTTTCAATTTCCTCTTAATGATGTGT